CTCTTGAAACACATCAGAAAGCATTTAGTTCTAGGAGGTTGTATGATTCTCTCTAGTTTTTTATTCTTTGTGAGTGTAAAATCCGCCACAGCCATTCATCATCAGATCTAAATCTGAATCATGTGAAGGTTTTATTCCAAACCCACGCTGGAAAGTCGTATACTCTATGAAGTTAGGTGATACGCATAGGACTTAATTCTATAGGCGCAATCTGTGTCATTACGCGAATAAAACACTTTGGAAGTCATGTTTAGCTCAATCTACGAAAAACGATTGAAGTTCTAAAACTATTGAAGGTGTTTGAATTCTAATGAGGAATAATCTGAGCGCTAATACGTTCTAATTTATTTCGTTTCTATCTTTCACTCGTGGAGAAGAACCGATCTTTAGACATTGTGGTTTACTCAATCATATATGTGTTTGTCAAGGATAATCAGAATAAATATAATGAATTCAGTCGAGGGTAAAGTGAGTCGTACCGACGAACGTTACTTGTAAGATAATTCTATAAGAAAAACTTTTCATGCTTCATGTGAATAATACGTTCACCTCATGTCTTGAAGTTTTCGTCAATGAATACTAAAAGTTTGTAAATTTTTGTTGCTACAGATTTCATCAAAACTAAATAGATTGATTTGAAAGTCTTTCATTTGACAGAGAAAAAATGAATTTTCTCTTCCAAAAACTAATTATTAATAATATTTAAAATAGTTCAGTTTGTCTTTTATTTCTTATGTTCATCCATTTTCTGGATCATTTGCGTCACTCTGAGTTGAGTCGTTTATCTTAAAGATTTTAAGTGTTTGATTTTTATTAGATCAATTAATAAGTTTGATGATGTGATTACAATTAAGTCTAAATATGCTGGAACGTTTCTGAGTTATGATTAGCGTAACATAATTATATTTGAGATAGTACTTAGGGTTATCCAAAAGTAGTGGCGGAGACCTTTTTTTTTCTTATTTATAAGTGAAAAAAAATTTCTCTTTTTACCAATCGATAGAACGAAAGATGCTCTATTTTTCTATGCTATTTGATCAATATTCAACTAAGAACATTATAATAAAATCTGGGCAAAACCTTTTTTCGTTGAACTCTAGCTGGTTGTAATAGTGCATAAAATCATCTACACGTGTTTTTTTTCGCTGTTTTTCCTTTTTTTTCTCGTTCTTTCATCATGATTTTCTTATCTCTTATAATAACTAGTTATCTATATATTTCATAGTGAACAAGAAGTAATAGTGATACAACAAAAAAAAACTACAAGGACGAGTTTATCAATTGTTTATTTTATCAAATGTTCGAAATAACCACCTTGATTATCTATACATAATTGCATTCTTTCCATCCATTTTTCAAAGGTTTTTTTGTATTCTTCGTTACTCAAAGAATACATGAAATTGACCACCGCGTCGTATAATGATTGTGAATCACTTTGATCAGACAGATTATCTTTGATTAAGTCAAATAACCAAAAATCGCAAGGAGCTAGGTCCGGAGAATTAGGTGGATGTGGCATAATTGTAAAACCTTTTGATTCAAGATAAGTACACACATCCCTATGAACATGTGGTTTTCCATTGTCATGATGAATTTTAATGTCATGGGTTCCACATGAAGGTCTTTGACGTTTAATTTCATCGATAAGAGGACGTAAACAATTATCAATATAATAACGATGGTCCATAGTCTGTCCTCGTTCCAAACGATGAATAAGCAGAGGACCGTTCGACTTGAAAAAGATGGCTAATAAGGTCCTTGGAGCATACTTACTTTGACGAACTACAGTAGGTGGAGGATCTCCTCTTCTCACCCACGCTGCATTTGACGACTTTCGACCAATCTGTTTATGATAAAACCACGATTCGTCACCAGTAATTATGTCACATAATCGCCATGTTCCTTGTTGAAATTTTGATAAGTTTTCTTTACATATTCGAACTCGTTCAGCCCGTTGAAAATCAGTAAGATCTTTCGGTATATAACGTGCGGTAATTTTTCTAAGGTTTAAATGATTGGTGATGATTCGATGAATCGTACCGTAACTTAAATCAGTTTGCTCTTGTAACTCTTCTATTGTAAGATAAGGATCATCATCGATAAGCTGACGAATCTGTTCGATGTTTTCAGATGTTGTTTCAGTGATAGGTCTACCAGGTCGTGCTGTATCTTCAAGTTCTTCTCGACCATCACGAAATAACTTGGACCATCTTTCCACTGTTCTAAGAGAAGGAGCTTGATCACCATAAACAGAATACAATTCATCATGAATAATTCTTGCTTGAATATTAAGTGCAGTACGGGTTTTGATGTAAAAACGAAAGTTTTCTGTACTCATTTGAAACAAGAAAATAAGATCAGACTTAAACTTGATTTCCTTCAATCTTTTTTGAATATAAACAAGTAGACGACACGTGCACACAAAAATAATACGACGGACGTATTAATATATATGAGAATAATGTGTATGGAATGATTAGTTATTATAAGAGATAAGAAAATTATGATGAAAGAACGAGAAAAAAAAGGAAAAACAGCGAAAAAGAACACGTGTAGATGATTTTATGCACTATTACAACCAGCTAGATTTCTACGAAAAAAGGTTTTGCCCAGATTTTATTATAATGTTCTTAGTTGAATATTGATCAAATAGCATAGAAAAATAGAGCATCTTTCGCTCTGTCGATTGGTAAAAAGAGAAAATTTTTTTCACTTATAAATAAGAAAAAAAAAGGTCTCCGCCACTACTTTTGGATAACCCTAAGTACATATCGATATCTTTTGTTACTTGATTTGTGAAGATTGGCTCCGTACAAAAACTGACAACAGAAAACAATGATAAACTTTATTGGATACTTTTTGGTAGATTCAATTATCGACATTTAGTACAACATAGTTATTCCAAGAATGGTTTCAGATTGTTTTTTCATTCTTACATCGATGAAGGATGTGGCTGTGGCTGTGTGTACTGGTCAAGAAAATACCCACACCCACACCCCGCTACATCCACATCCACACACCCATATTCATACCCCACATCCACACACCCATATTCATACCCCACATACCCACACCTAGACATCGGCGTGACCAAAATGTTGTGACCAAAGAAAAAAAAGTTATTCGATTATAGTTTCAATAGTAAATGTGAGAACCGAAATCTATTTAACTATTCTTGTTCAGAATTTTCTTCTCTTCAAAATGGTATATAAATGTCGAAGAATCTGGTGATCCATAACAGAGAAAATCACATCACATTAGTCGTGACCAATTCTGGTCATGGTCAGTCACGACATTTTCTGGTCACGACTAATGTGATGCAAGTTTCTCTGTTATGGATCATCAGATTCTTCGACTTTTATATATCATTTTGAAGAGAAGCAAATGCTGAACAAGAATAGTTAAATAGGTTTCGGTTCTCACATTTACTATTGAAACTATAATCGAATAACTTTTTTTTTCTTTGGTCACGACATTTTGGTCACGCCGATGTCTACCCACACCCACCCTTATGAAACTTTATAGCATCCCCATCCATGGAAATAAAGAATATATCGACAATAGTCTGACGAAAGATTTCAATAAAAAAAAAACAGAATAGACTATTACTTATGAAGTCAAAATTCTATTCATTTTTCGAATAAAATCATAGAACTTTTTTGAGAATTAAGTACTATGAAAACAAAAGGAAGTTCTTTTATCTGTTGAACAATTTCTCTCAGAAGGAAAAATAATTAGAAATAAACGAATACACTTACAATGGTCTATTACTATCATGAAATCATTAGATTGACAAGTTTATTTTTTACTTAGATTTGTTTTTATTGTCTATGAAGGTGTAATCTATAAGAACACAGAATATACCTCATTTAATTCTAAGCATATGATATAATTTCATAGACAGTGATTTTTTCAGTAACTAGAAACACTTATCTATTTCATTGATCAATATTAAAAATTCGTGAATATTTAAACTAACTGAATATATTTGATCAACAAAAGCATTTAGTTTTTGAAATTTTCAATGAACTAAACAAGTCTGTTCTTTCTTATATTTCTCAATTTTCATGATTCAATTGATATGATCAAATAACCAATTTCACTTGCTCTTTGTGACAAGCGATGCATTGTTCAAGTGGAAAGAAAAAGTTGTCACAAATGAAGAAAGAGTACGACATTCCTCTTATCTTAACGCATTACATTAGATTACGTTCAAAAGAAAGTGGAATATGTAAAAACGATAGTGCTTATAAAATCTAAACTCAATTCAGTCTCTCTACTAACATTTTATCTTATGTAGTTAGACGTGAAAAAAAAACAATAATATATACTGTATAATCAGCTGTTCATGCCCACTGAAGCAATACCTCAACATACTTTTTTGTATCATTCACAATCACGAAATGATGAAATCTAATATTGAATAACATCATTAATATTGAAAATAATTTTGAGAGTTTTATATTCATCACTATTTCTCTGAATTTGTGAATGTAATTGAATACATATAAAAATGAGTAATACAGGTCATTGATAGTTTTTTGTGCATATTTTACAGAAAAAGGTTTTGATAATTGTAGAACCTGCTTATTGGAAAGATTTATTTTATACAGTTATCGTTCATAATAAGTGAATGATAGTTACTCCTTTATTACATTTATTGTCTACTCATAATTGATACATATAACTAAGAAAATTCAATTTTATCTTATGTCAGATTTTGATGATTATACCCATGTCAATATCTCAACTATTCTTACAATGAAGAGCACATTTTCTACAAAGTTAATATGTTCAATGAATGATTCTTTGTAATCAAACGAGAAGTCTTCATTAAAATCAACTCGAGTTGATGAATTAACTTGTCTTAGGTCCTTATATAAAGATGAACCATATGAAAAACTATTTTTCGATTCAGTGATCAATTTTTGACTCGAAAACTTATCATTATTAAGTTTCATAGCAATTTCACACAGCACAATGAAATTTTGGTTATGTACGTGAAATTAAGAAATGTTTAAATCTTTTATAAAACAGAAAAGAAAGGCAATAACTATTGATTACTTTCTATAGGTATCATCTAATAAATTATAAAATTTTCTGATTACATTTTCTCTTTCTTTTGAAATTTAAAAAGAAAAACAAGATTAAGTTAGGGAATGGAAAAAAAACTACTAATTCTAAAAATTCATTTTTGAGACAAGAACATTTTATATTACGAAATCATTATATTTTGGATTTATCGATAAATAAATACTTGTTCGACTGCCCTCACTCATAAAGCAACGTCAATTTCTTTTTGTTTTTCGTTTTGCTAGGATTTCATCAATCAAACAATTTCATTTTGTAGAAGATATTTTGAAAAATAAAATGCTATAACATGAGCAGAAATAAAATTAAAACAATAATTATCATTGAAATGACAGAAAAAGATACTTTTTGAAGAAGAAATAAAGAGAAAAACATTTTTTAAAATTTCTTTCGTTTGTCATCGATATTTCAAGGATTTTTTATATTCTTGAGATTTAGAAAATTTTTATGAGCAAAGACAAAAATAAAACTTTATCTTTCTCCTAATAATGAAGCATTCATTCATAATAGGAATATAAGTTAGGAAAATAATTTCTTTTTGTAAAAACAAATCAAAAACAAAAAAGACACCAGAGCGTGACTGACCACACAAGAAAAATAAAACAATATGCAGAGAACTTTGAACAATTTTCAATCAAACTTGAAAATTAAATAGAACCATCTCTTATAGAGATCGACAAATGTCATGATATTTCTATTAATATTGTCTTAGACGATAATGCAATTATGTAATAACAAACAAAAAAAACTGAAAATAATTAGCACTAGTTTCTTCTGACATATAAAATTTATCGATAATACTTTTCATTTTAAATAACTATTTATAGAATAATTCTACATGAATTTAATAAACCAAGATTTCCATATGTCAAATACTCATGATCTTGAATGATTGTATAGTTAGACGTAACAAAGTCAAAAAAAAAAGAAATATCGCCGTGAAAAATGGTCTGAAGAGCATGCTTTATTGTAAAATAAAAAAATCTATAGCATTCTTAATACCATCATAATAAAGATTGTCAGTATAATGTTGAATTGAAATTGTTTTGACTTGTTTCAGAATATTCATTTTCTATGAGAAATATACTATAAGTATATCACAAACAAAATAATCTTCAATTATTATAAAACTATATTTACATCAAACTAATCGATTGAACTCATTTTGTGTAAAAAAATGAAAGTACATGTTGATCGTAAGTGTTTGAACATCGAGAAATGTGTCCCACATAAGATCAAGTATCCTTTTCTGTGAAGAAGACGTAAGAAATATGTATAACATAATGAATACATGAATCAGAATTATTATATCTTTCATTGATATAATCAAAGCCAAATTCATTAAACAATGTATGTACCGTTAATCTACGTACTAATGAAAGAGAGACATATACTATAGAACTACATAAATTAATGATTATACGATTGGTATTTTTAATCTCATCCACGCAACAGAATTTTTTATTTTCAGAGAATTGATAGATAGTTTCAAATTCTTTTTTATCAAGAGAGAGTAGTTTATTTTTCATCGAGTTATTTTTGTTTCGTGAGACTTTTCATAACAATGAAATATTCATCCAAAGATAGGAAGAATGACTCGAAAAAAAATGTTCTTTTTTGTTTATGTTTCATAATTTCGATTGATAATCGGTCAAATTAGTTCATATTTGCCTCGTTTCACATGAGAAGATAGAGCAAAATGAGACGAACATTTTCTTGTCTGAGGAACAATACTTGAAAACCTACTCGAGAAATACTAGAGGTTTTCAAAGTTCTCTCCAGTTAGAATGATTCGAATCACTCTAACTGGTGTAATTCAGATTACTATCTCAAGGCTCTCACCATTTTTATAAAAACTCTAGAGATAAATTTTGTTCAATGTAAGATAGTTGAGCAATGGTTGAAATAAATCAATTTTTTTGAATAGTGATCTGCATGATACCAAATGGTTACATTCACTATTATAAAATCATCTCGTGTTATTGTTAATTTTATTTTCATTGTTACTTTTTTTAAATGCGAAGTGACAATCTCATAATGAAGATTTCTTATAGCAAAACAAAAAATAGCTATCGCTACTCGACTTTTTCAGCGAAGATCTAAATGTAGTATCTATTCTTGTCGATTTGAAAGCCAGCGCTGATTTCATTAGGTTTAGGCTCTTTCAAGCGGATTTTTGGATATCGGTTGAGATCATCCTAGTTCATTCAAAGTTATGCCATGAATCGTCTCAACATTACAGTGTCA